ATTACAGACGTGGGCCACCACATGCAGCCTGGAGGTGACTCTCAAGGGATAAATTCTTAGAAGTGCACTTGCTTGCTGTGTCAACAGGTATGTGTATATATAATTAAATACTGCCAAATTTAAGCCTATAGAACTTAAAACATTTTGCATTCCCACCAACAATGTATGAAAATCCCTGTTTCTCCAGTCTCAGCCATAGAGAGTACTGTTAAGTTTTTAAATTTTTGACAATCTGATAGGTGAGAAATGGTATCTCAGTGTAGTTGTAATTTACGTTTCTCTTACCATGAGTGAAGTTGAATGTCTTTTCATATATTTATACATCTTTTGGTAAAGAGTCTGTGCATGTCTTTTGCCCAGTTTTCTATAGGATTTCTAATCTTTTCCCCCTCAATTTTTAAAACATCTACAAAGTAAGGATTAACCCCTCCTTTTTTTTTCTTTTTCTTTTGGAGACGGAGTTTCACTCTTGTTGCCCAGGCTGGAGTGCAATGGCGCGACCTGAGCTCACTGCAACCTCTACCTCCCCGGTTCAAGCAATTCTCCTGTCTCAGACTCCCAAGTAGCTGGGATTATAGACGGGGACAATCACGCCTGGCTAATTTTTGTATTTTTAGTAGAGACAGAGTTTCACCATGTTTGTCAGGCAAGTCTCGAACTCTTGACCTCAGGTGGTCCGCCCTCCTCAGCCTCCCAAAGTGCTGGGATTACAGGTGTGAGCCACCGCGTCCGGCCTCAGGATTAACCTTTTATCGGTGAAGTATGGTGATTTACATGTTGATAAGGATTTTTTGTAGTCATTTGTCTTTTGATGTTATGGTACACTTTGTCCATGCAAACGCTATTTGGTATTTGTAGACATTATTTATTAATCCTTTATTGGCTCTGGATTTAGAATTAGAAAGCCTCTCCGTATACCAGGTTAAAGATTATTTCATCCATGTTTTCTTATAGCATGTTTCTAGTATCCATGTTTCTTCTGGCAATGTGAAAAAAAATATATTTTTTTCACATTGAAATCTCTGACCCATTATAAATTCTCGTGTATGACGGGAGGAATGGAATTTTATTATTTTCCAAATGGCCAGTCAACGTCCCATTTATTAAAAGAGTATTTGCCACAGTCATGTGATATTCCACCTTTCAATAGGCATTTTTTAATGCATTCTGCTCTTGTTACTTTGACCTATTCATGTGCCAGTGCTATGATGTTGCTTAAATTATAGAGGCTTTGTAAAGTTTTCAAATCTGGAAGGGCTAGTCCCTCTAAAGCACTTCCTGTGCAGCAATTTTGTTGGAATTCTTTAATTTTCCATGTGGATTTTAGGATTAACTTACAGTCCATGTCAATGAAAAAACTCATTAGAATTTTTTTTTTTTTTTTTTTTTTTAGACGGAGTTTCGCTCTTTTTGCCTAGGCTGGAGTGCAATGGCATGATCTCGGCTCACCGCAACCTCCGCCTCCCAGGTTCAAGCGATTCTCCTGCCTCAGCCTTCCGAGTAGCTGAGATTACAGGCATGTGCCACCATGCCAGGCTAATTTTGTATTTTTAGTAGAGACGGGGGTTTCTCCATGTTGGTCAGGTTGGTCTTGAACTCCCGATCTCAGGTAATCCATCCGCCTCAGCCTCCCAAAGTGCTGGGATTACAGGCGTGAGCCACTGCGCCCGGTGAGAATTGTTAATGAGATTGCAAAATTTTGTAAACTATAAGGTGAGATTGACATCTTCATTATATTGAGATGTTCTCACCAAGAAAAGAGGATGCCTTTCTATTTATTGAAGTCTATTTCTGGTTTCAGTGGTGCTTTACAGTTTTCTACTTGTTGGTTTCGAACATCCTTTATTAAACTTATTCCTAAACATTTTATCTTAATCCAATGTCACCAAAATTGGAGTCACTTTTTTTTTTTTTTTTTTTTGGAGACAGAGTCTCACTCTTGTTGCCCAGGCTAGAGTGCTATGGTGCAATCTCGGCTCACAGCAACCTCCACCTCCTGGGTTCAAGTGATTCTCCTGCCTCAGCCTCCCGAGTAGCTGTGATTACAGGTGCCCACCACCATGTATTTTTAGTAGAGACGGGGTTTCTCCATGTTGGTCAGGGTGGTCTTGAACTCCCGACCTCAGGTGATCCGCCTGCTTTGGCCTCCCAAAGTGCTGGGATTAGAGGCGTGAGCCACCGCACCCGGCCTGGAGTCACTAATTTTACATTTCATTTTGTGCTGCTTTTAGGTATTAACAGCCAGCTCTATTATATTCCAGAGTTCAAACGGAGTAACCCTAAAGAAGATGTTTTTGTGGTATGTTTTTTCTTTTCAAAAGGACTATAGCTGAATCTCTTTTTATTTTTAATTTTTTTTTTGACATGGAGTATTGCTCTGTCACCCAGGCTGGAGTGCAGGGGCACAATCTCTGCTCACTGAAAGCTCCGCCTCCCGGGTTCACGCCATTCTCCTGCCTCAGCCTCCCGAGTACAGGTGCCCGCCACCCACACCCGGCTAATTTTCTGTATTTTTTAGTAGAGATGGGGTTTCACTGTGTTAGCCAGGATGGTCTCGATCTCCTGACCTCGTGATCTGCCCGCCTCGGCCTCCCAAAGTGCTGGGATTACAGGCGTGAGCCACCGCGCCCGGTCAGGCATAGATTTCTTATTTCTATAAAACACTGATATTCATTTCAGGTGTGGTTTTCTATTAACCCAATCAAATCATTCTTTCCCCTTCTTTCATCACCATTTTTATCTAAAAGAGAGGTTTCAGATGTATCTGGCAGAGATTTTTTTTTTTAATTTCCATTTATATATATATGTAAGATATATAAATATATATATACACACACACTTTTTTTTTTTTTTTAAGACAGTGTCTTGCTCTTGTCACCCAGGCTGGAGTGCAATGGCACGATCTTGGCTCACTGCAACCTCCGCCTCCTGGGTTCAAGTGATTCTCCTGCCTCAGCCTCCCGAGTAGTTGGGATTACAGGTACCCACCACCACACTCGGCTAATTTTGTATTTTTAGTAGAGATGGGGTTTTGCCATGTTTGTCAGGCTGGTCACGAACTCCTGACCTCAAGGGATCCACTCACCTTGGCCTCCCAAAGTGTGGGGATTACAGGAGTGCGCCACTGCGCTGGGCCTGTTTTTTATTTATATATCATTTATCAGGTCCATTTTGGGTGAACGGCCATAGAAACTTCCATTATGGAAAAACACTTTCAAGTAAAAGGTCAATATACATGCTGGAATGGTCATTCTTTCTATTTATATTCTCAGTAGAAATTTTTAAACTGCTGGCATGAAATGACGCCACACCACACATACACGTGCATACACACACACACACACACACACACACACACCCTGCTTCCCTTGTGACTTCAGCTCTGGCCACTGGATAACTCACTGAGGCAAAATGGCTTCAGTGAAAATGTATTGATAAGGGCTGTCCCCAGTGGTCTCAAGGCATCCCCATCAAAGCTAACCCAAAGACCATCTCCAGCTGAGATGCTGGGTCAGTGACCCCCATCTGTCATTCTTCTTTCATCTATCCTCCCAAGGCGAATTCTCCCAAACTAAAATCTTTCTTTTCATTCTGGTGAAAAACCCCTCTGAGCCAGCAGTGGCCTGGCTGGGGAGACTGACCATGCAGTAAACACTTGGTGCTGAAGGAACAGGGCCAGGGCCAGTCTTGATGTAGGCATTTGTCAGGATCTAGGGCATTTGGGCTCTGGGGATCAAGGAACAGGAGGGACTACAGCTAAAGGGGCAGTGTCTTGGGCTGGATAGAAGGGTGGGTGGCTTCAGAGTCTTAGCTCCTGACTGGAGTTTTAAGGAAGGTTGTGGCTGACGGTCTGGATCACTGGCACGCAGGCATAGCTAACATGACAGGGATGTGAATAAATGCCCTCCAATCTGGAGTCAGGGAAGTTGAGCTTGTGGCCAGCATCTCTCCTCACAGGCACTGGAAGACTTAGGAAGAGGTGAGGTTGAATACCGTAATATCCCCGTCCCATAGGACAGTAGTCTAGAATAAATATGCAGAGTAATTCCTCCATGTCTCTGAAGAGGTTGAATGCCTTGGGGTTCTCCTACAAGTATCAGTGAATGAGGTACATAGCCAGGTATGCAGCTTTGTAGAGAAGCAGTTTATTAAAACAAAAGACCATAAAATACAAAGGACTGCTGTGCAGAAAGTAAAGCATAAACCAACTATCTCATGATCAATGAAGGAAAGCAACTCTTTTTTCTCCATTCCATATCAGGAAAGTGGAACATCTATTATTGGTTTCTGCCATCTTCACACTTATGGAGAAAGGAAAGGAATGGTCAGGAGAGCACTCTGTGGCAGGTGCTCATGGCTAGACACGAATTTTGGAAGTCCAGAAGTCAGAGTGTTATGGACTAAATTGTGTCCCTCCCCACCGCAATTCATATGTTGAAGCCCTAATCCCCAATGTAACTGTTTTTGCATACAGGACATTTAAAGTTGTAATTAAGGTTAAAAAGAGGTCTTTAGGGTGTTGCCCTAATCCACTATCACTGGTGTCCTTTTAACGAGAGACATCAGGCAAGTGTGTGTACAAAGAATAAGCTATGTGACACCACAGAGGGAAGGCAGCCATCTGCAGGCCAAGGAGAGAGGCCTTAGTAGAAACCAAACCTGTCAACACTCCATTCTAGGACTTCCAGTTTCCTGACCTGTGAGAAGCTAAATGTTCTATTGTTTAAGGCACCCAGTCTGTTGTTTTCTTATGTTAGCCCTAGCAAATTAATACAGATTTTGGTACTGTGATAGGGATGCTTTGTAACCTAAAATGTGGAAGTGGCTTGGAACTGGGTTCTTGGTAGAAAGAAGCTACAAGAGTTTTGAGGCACATGTTAGGAAAAGCCTGGATAACCTTTAAAACACTGTTGGTAGGAATGTAGATGTTAAAGGTTCTGGGCTGGGTGTGGTGGCTCACACTTTGAGAGGGCAAAGCAGGAGGATCATTTGAGGCCAGGTGTATGAGACCAGCCTAAGCAACATAGCAAAAACCCGTATCTACAAAATTTGTTGTTTTTTTTTTCTTTAAGGTGATTGTGGTGAGGTCTCAGACAGAAATGAGGAATGGGTAACGGGAAACTGGAATCCTTGCAAAGGACTTGCCCAAATTGCATTCTAGTGTTTTGTGGAGTATAGAACTTGTGAGTGAGGCAGTGCAGAATATTCAGGTGATATTTCTACACAAAGTGATGCAAGTGGAGCCTGTCTTCTCCTTGCTGCTTATAGTAAAATGTGAGAGGAGAAAGATAAATTGAAGGAACTGTTAAGCAAAAAAGAACCAGTACTTAAAGATTTGGAAAATTCTCAGCCTGTCCGCATTACAAAAAATGAGAAAGTATGTTCTCGAAAGAACACTAGGGTGTGGCTGGACAACCATGTGATAAAGAGATTGGTATAGGTCTGAATGGAACCAGTTAACCATTTCACCAGAAATGCTGCCAGCTTGAACTGAATAGAGAAAGACACAGGACAAATGAAGGCAGGCTGTTGGACTTCTGGGATTCTACAGGAAGGTACAAGAAAAGGGAAAAATGTGATTCTCAAAGGTTCTAATGGGTCCAGAGAGTACAGGGCTAGAGGGCAAGTGTGTCTCCTTCTCAATTTCAGTGGGCCAGGAGCCACTGCCCAGGGCCAAGGAAGCGACACTGCAGCTCCCGTGAGCCCAAAAAGTAGGGCTGCAGTGTTTTAAAGGTCATCCAGGCTTTTCCTAACATGTGCCTCAAAACTCTTGTAGCTTCTTTCTACCAAGAACCCAGTTCCAAGCCACTTCCACATTTTAGGTTACAAAGCATCCCTACACAGTACCAAAATCCAGCTGGCCCACAGGGCAGAGCACTGAGCCAAAGGGGATTATTCTCGAAACTTAAAATCTAATGGAAGTTGCCTTGCCAGGTTTGAGACTTGCTGAGGATCCATCATTCTTCATTTCTTTCTCATGTCTCTCCTTTGGAATGGGGAGTTCAGCCTCTGCTTGTCCCACCATTGTATAATATTTTGGAAGCAGATAATCTGTCTGGTTTCACAGGATCACAGCTGGAGAATTTTGCCTAAGGATGAATTGTACCTAAAGTCTCATTCATGCTTGGTTTAGACGATATTTAAATGAGATTTTGGATCTAGAGTTGAAGTTGAAATGGGTAAAGAATTTTGGGACTGTTGGGATCCTGTGAATGTATTTTGTATGTTTGAAGGACCTGAACTTTGGTAGTGGAGTGTTATAGACTAAATTGGGTTTCCCAAAAATTCATGTTGAAGTCCCAACCCTGTAGTGTGACTGTGTCTGGAGATAGGGCCTTTAAGAAGGTTATGAAGGTTAAATGAGGCCATATGGCTGTGGCTCTATCCAGAATGACTGGTATCCCTACAAGAGGAGGAAGCCACACCAGGAAAGTATACACACAGAAAAAAGGCCTCGTGAGGATGTGGCCAGAAAGCAGCCATCCGCAAGCCAAGCAGAGAGGCTTTAGCAGCAGCCAAACCTACCAATACCTTCATCTGGGACTTCCTGCCTCCATAAATATGAAAATAGAATTCTGTTGTTAAAGTCACCCAACCTGGGGTACTTTGTTATGGAATCCCTAGCAAGCCAAGACAAATTGTGAATATAGAAGGTAAACCAAAATTCAACTATCTCATGATCAATGAAAGAAAGCAACATTTTCTTTTTCCATCCCATTTCAGGAAACTGAAGCATTTACTAGTGATTTCTGCCAGCTTCACACGCACGAGGAAAGGAAAGGTCAGAAGATCTCTTGGGGTAGGAGCTGATGACCAGACTTGGTCCTCCTATGTCTATGCAAGTGAGACTTCTGGCTAAAGCCACGTCCACACTCCCTGCAGACATACGGCTTCTCCCCAGAATGGGTCCGCTGATGCCGGATGAGGGCAGACTTAAAGCCGAAGCCGCGCCCACATTCATCGCAGACGCAGGGCTTTTCTCCCGAGTGTGTCCTTCGGTCAGAGATAAGGTGTGACTTCTGGCCAAGTCCTTGCCCACACACCCTGTCAACATAAAGCTCCTCCTCTGAGTGTGTCCTCTGGTGTCGGGTGAGGAGCGACTTAAAGCCAAAGGCGCGCCCACACTCGGGGCACAGATAAGGCTTCTCCCCGGTGTGTGTCCTCTGGTGTCTGATGAGGGTGACCTTCTGACCAAAGCCACGCCCACAATCAGGGCACAGGTAGGGCTTCTCCCCTGTGTGTGTCCTCTGGTGTCCAATGAGGGTGACCTTCTGGCTGAAACCCCGCCCACACTGGGGGCACAGGTAAGGCTTCTCCCCTGTGTGTGTCCTCTGGTGCCTGATGAGAGTGACCTTCTGGCGAAAGCTGTGCCCACACTCGGCACAGACATAAGGCTTCTCCCCTGAGTGTGTGACCTGGTGACTAAGGAGGAGTGACTGCTGCCTGAAGCCACGCCCACACTCGAGGCACAGGAAGGGCCTCTCGCCTGTGTGTGAGCTCTGGTGCTGGAGGAGGGATGCCTTCTGGCAAAAGCCTCTCCCACACTGGGGACACACAAAGGGCTTCTCCTCCAAGTGTGTCCTCTGGTGTAGAATGAGGGCTATCTTCTGGCGAAAGCCTCGCCCACACTCCTGACATACAAAGGGCCTCTCCCCGGAGTGAATCCTCTTGTGATTAGTGAGGGAGGATGTATACCTGAAGTGTCGCCCACATTCCCTGCACACATACGGCTTCTCCCCCGAGTGCTTCCTCTGGTGTATGGAGAGGGAGGCCTTCTGGCTAAACTGACGCCCACACTCTGGACACAGGTATGGCTTCTCCCCGGTGTGTGTCCTCTGGTGCTTGATAAGGTCTGATCTCTGGCAAAAGCCTCTCCCACATTCAGGGCACACATGATGCTTCTGGTGGCTGAACAGGCTTGACTTTTTGCTAAGTCCCAGTCTATAGTTTCCACGTATGACTGCTCCAGATTCTGAGGTGTCTACTCCCTTCAACATTGTGTCTGACCCCCCAGGACTCATCCTCTGGGCCAGGCGAAGGTCTATTCCTCCTTGTGTGTTCCCTTCCAACCATTCTACTGGGTCACCTTGATGTGGGCTGAAGAATGTCCTAGAAATTCTGCTTGGCCTCTTTCTTAATGAGGTATCGGGGCCTTCTGTCTCTCCACTTTCTCCTTTTTCACTAGAGCATCTTGGAGCTTCTAGTTGGAAGTCACTTCCTGCAGATGAGCTTGGGAAGATCTGTGTGGGATGACCACTTAGTGCATATGGTCTGAGGAGCTGCGAGCTAGAAAAGGCCACCAGGTGGGGAAGACTGGGCTGGAATTCTGTCCTAGGCTCTGCTAGAGAGAAAGTCTCGGTCAGAATCACCACAGGTGCCTGTGGATTGCAATACCTGCCCAGCAGTTTTCTTCAGATGTTCACAACAAAGACCTATCTTCCAACCCACAAGGGCACATTACATGCTCTATTGCAGCACAGAAAACCCACACTACAAATTAGTCCTATCAGCCAAACCAGAAAGTTCAAAAAAGCATCACAGGCAGCTTCAGCTCTATAAACTGCTGCAAGTAGAGTTACACATTGATTTTCCTTTCTTGGGCGCTGCTCTCTTGCTTTTGCTCCAGCTCACGCCTATGAAACCTTGCCTGAGAAACATTTGTTTGGCCTGCTGTTTATGCAAGAGCCAAGAACTTGCTGTCTGAGCTGCGGTAAGTAACAGACTGATTACGATCCTGAAGATGCTATAAATAAGATCTAAACATCTGATCGGGAGCCGTATTTTGGGCTTCCTTGACTGTGGCGACTCAAGTAAGGGGCACCCACGAATCAGATAAGCTGCAGCAAGAGATCCTGGTTCCTGCGTGGAACAGGCTTTAGGCCAGGGAGCTTCCATAGCAGCCTGATGTGAGTTGTCTCCTGAACTGCTGCATGGACACTCTTAAGTCCTCTTGAAGAAGAGGACTCCCTGATGCTGCCCTCCTGGCAAACGAGGGTGCTATCCTCTAGCCTCTGGGCAGACTGCGGCCAAGTATACTCCCCGAATAGCATTGCACAACACTGCGTACACTGTTTTGCTCAACAATCCAGGATTTTTAAAAAATCTGGCGAATTAAGGAGAAGTTCAGCGTTTGAAGGTTAGTAATAGATGACTTATTAGCATAAAGATGTTTCAGGGATTATACATATTTTGGCTTAAGCATATTCTTATCCAAAACTGTTAAAACTATACAAATTGACTTTTTCAAAAAATTTTGTTTCTAGGTTTAAATAGGCTGCCAATTGGAGATAATACTAATTCCCATGATGGTATAAATTAAACGCTCTGGAAACTGGCAGTGCTTTCAGCTTCCATAAGTTGATATCATAACTCCTAGGTAATTATGGACTAAGTTCTTTTTTTTTTTTTTTTTTTTGGAGACAGAGTCTCACTGTGTCACCCAGGCTGGAGTGTAGTGGCGCTATCTCAGCTCACTGCAACCTCCACCTCCTGGGTTCAAGCAATTCTCCCACCAGTCTCCCGAGAAGCTGGGATTACAGGCGCACCCACCACGCCTGGCTAATTTTTTGTATTTTTAGTAGTAATAGGGTCTCACGATGTTGGCCAGGCTGGTCTCAAACTCCTGACCTCAAGTGATCCACCCACCTTGGCCTCCCAAAGTGCTGGGATTACAGGCGTGAGCCACCGCACCCAGCCCCTGGAACAAATTTTTAAGAGCATTGATCAGAAATGTACCCCGCAAGTAGCAACCCATAGCAAGAAACTGAATCAGGGTTTTGAGTGCCCTATCAGAACAGAAGTGAAGAATTTAATGGAATTAAACTATTTAACAGAAGACCCTTGGTTCAAGGCAGACGATTATAAATAGAATACTGATTTATATGTTATCCCATTTGTTAACTATTTTTAATCACAAAATATGTATTTCTTATTTTTGACCATACTATTCCTAAGAAAAACTCCTTGTATCGTTGATTAGAGTCAGTAAGATCATATCTGCAAGAGCGAACTTAAGCAGCGTTAGGGATTGCCATTCACAGTCCATCTGGAATACAGAGAAGGTCCTTCGTATTAAAATATTCCAGTGGAAAAAGATGTGAGTTTTGCAAGATTACAGCATACAAAAATCACTACACATAAATCCATTTTATTTCTATGTACCATCAATAAACAACTGAAAATTGACACTTAAAAATAGCATAAAAAAATACAATACTTAGGGGCAAATCTGACAAGAGATATGTAAGGCCTGTATACTAGAAATGACAAAACAATGCCGACAAAAATGAAAGAAGTCTTATGTAAATGGAGAGCCACACTGTGTTCACGTACGGTAAGACACAGTATTATTTACATGTAAGTTCTCCACAAATTGATACAGATTCAACTCGATCCCAATCCAAATCTCAGCAGGCATTTTTGATAAAAACTGACAAACTGATTCTAAAATTCATATAAAAAAAAAGAATAACGAAAAGAACTTGCAAAAAAAAAAGCAAAGATGGAGGATATTTTATTTTATTTTGAGATGGAGTCTCGTCGCACTTTGCCTGAGTTGGAGTGCAATAGTGCGATCTCGGCTCACTGCAACCTCTGCCACCCGAGTTCACACGATTCTCCTGCCTCAGCCTCCCGAGTAGCTGCGATTAGAGGTGCACACCACCACACTCAACTAATTTTTTTTGTATTTTTAGTAGAGATGGTGTTTCACTATGCTGGCCAGACTAGTCTTGAACTCCTGAGCTTGTGATCCGCCTGCCTCGGCTTCCCAAAGAAGATGGAGGATTTACAGTGAGTTCAAGACCTAATAAACCTACAGTAATCAAAACTGCGGTATTGGCATAGAGACACTAACAGAGGAGTAGAAAAAAATATAAAGTCCAGGTATAGACCTATCATATATGGTCAACTGATTTTCCACAAAAGTACATAGGAAATTCAGTAAAGAAAGGGTAGTCTTTTCAATAAATGGTGTTGGAAAAATTGGATATCTGTATGCCCTTCCTCCCCTAAAAAAGGGGAGGCCTGAATTTATGTACATTTTTATATTTACTCAAAATAGGCATATAGACCTAAATGTAATTAAAAATTATAAAATTACTAAAAGAAAAAAATGAGAACCTTTTTGACCTTAGTTTAGACTAAAATTTCTTAAATATACTACCAAAACTGTAATTCATAAGAGAAAAAATTGAAAACTGGATTTCATCCCAGTTAAAAATTTCTCTTTGAAAGGCACTAGTAAGATTATAAAAAGTAAACCACAGAAAAAATGTTTGTAAATCATGTATCTGATAATGGACTTCTATATAGAATATCCGAAGAACTCTCAAACTCAATAATACAAAAATAAGAAACCACATTTTTAAATGGGCAAAAGATGTGAAAACACACTTCTCTAAAGAAGATATAAGATGGCAAATAAGTGCATGAAGACACTCAACGTCATCAGTCATTAAGAAAATGTCAAAACCACAGTAAGATGCCACTCACTACACAGCTATAAGAACGTCTGAAATTAGTACAATAACCAAGCCAAGTTTCGACAGATACGGAACACCCGGAGCTCTCATACACTGCGCTGCCGTGGGAATGCAAAAAGGTGCAGCCACTTTGGAAAGCAGTTTGTGAGTTTCTTCAAAAGTTGAATATAGATTGTATCCATCATCATACAACCCAGCCATTCCAGTCCCAGGTATTTATTCAACAGAAATGAAAGCATTATATTCACACAAAAACTTGTATGCTTAAAACAGCTTTATTTATATTTGTCAAAAATGAAAACCCAAATATCTTTCCATAGGTCAGTATTAAAATGTGACCTAGCCATCTAAAGGAATACTCAGCAATAAAAATTAATAAACTATTGATACACACATCATAGATAAAATTCAAAATAATTATGCTGAGTGAAGAAACCAGTTGTATAATCCAGTTATACAAATTCTAGAAAATGCAGACAAATCTATAATTATGGAAAGCTGATCAGTGGTTGCCCAGGTACAGGGGAGGACAGGAAGGAGTGGGAGGTAGGATTACAGTGAGGCAAAAGAAAACTTTCAAGGATGACAGACATGCTTGTTACTTTAGTTGTGGCAGTGGTTTCATGCATGTATACATATACCAAAACTAACCAAATTTTACACCTAAATAAGTGTAGTTTATTATACCTTAAAAACACATCTTATACCTTAGTTACTGTATCTTAATAACATTTTTATCATTATTTTACTTTTGTTTTTGAGACAGAGTCTCACTCTGTAGCTTAGGCTGGAGTACAGTGGTGTGATCTCAGTTCATTGCAACCTTCGCCTCCCAGGTTCAAGCGATTCTCACTCCTCAGCCATCTGAGTAGCTGGTGTTACAGGCATGCGCCACCAGGCTCGGCTAATTTTCATGTTTTTAGTAGAGACAGGATTTCGCCATGTTGGCCAGGCTAGTCTCAAACTCCTGGCCTCAGGTGAGGCCACCTCAACCCACCTCAGCCTCCCAAAGTCTGGGATTACAGGCGTGAGCCACTGTGCCCAGCCCATTTTCATATAATGAAATTTTTTTAGAAAGACAAAAGCACTCAGTTGCTACATAGTGTAACACCAGCTATATAGTTATATTTAAAAGCAAAAAACAAAACAAAAATAAAATGCCAGGAAACCATGAAAATAAACAAGAAGATAAAGCAGGCAAAAATTAATTTCTGCCTCCCAGCATTCATATAAAATTAATTCTAGTTAGATTAAAGACCTAAATGTTTCCATAATTTGGGATTTCTACAAATCAATAACAAAAAGAATAAACCCACTGAAAAGTAGGCAAATACCTTGAATGGTCAAATCACAGATGGGGAACCAGGAAGGGCCAAGCAACATACGAAAAGATGCTCATGCTCACTAGTAAGCAACTTAAAAACCCGTCTGAGATTTCACTTCCAGCTGAATAGATGGATAAAACATGAGGTCTGACAATCCCAAATACTGGTGAGGATGTGCAACAAGAAATCTCATAGACTCCTGCTGGGAGCATAAGCTGCCATGCCTACTTCAGAATACAAGTTGGCATAACTTATGTAAGTTGAGGCTATGCATGTCTATGAACTAGCTACTACACACCTAGGTATATATCTTTTTTCTTTCTTTCTTTCTTTGTGAGATGGAGTCTCGCTCTGTCAACCAGGCTGGAGTGCAATGGCGCAATCTCAGCTCACTGCAACGTCCGCCTCCCAGATTCAAGAAATTCTCCTGCCTCAGCCTCCTGAGTAGCTGGGATTACAGGCATACACCACCATGCCCGGCTAACTTTTCTATTTTTAGTAGAGATGGGGTTTCACCATGTTGGCCAGGCTGGTCTCGAACTCCTGACCTTGTGATCCACCTGCCTCAGCCTCCCAAAGTGCTGGGATTACAGGCGTGAGCCACCGAACCTGGCTGGTATATATCTTAAGAGAAACTCTTGCACGTGTTCCCAAGGAGGCATACATGAATACAGAGCAAGATTATTTCATAGTCAAAAGGTTGGAAACAACTTAATAATATTATGTGCAGAGAAGTTTACAGACATGCAAAACAACACCCTATATGAATGAAGAACCCATCGGATGGAATAAAAGGATAAAGGCAGTCATGGAATGCTAACTCAGAAAACAGAGGCAGAGGAACAGGACACAATCAGGAAAAGTATGGGGCTATTACCTGGCTTTATAACATGCTATCTCTTAGGCTATACGGCTGCCCCAATCCTATTCATTGTACAGTTTTTCACACCTTGCTATGATCTTAAATAATCTATGATAAAAGAAACAGAGTTATGAGAATTTACAGGATAGAAATGATGCACAAAAAATCTACCAGGTTAAGAATAGAAACTGGCTGGGCGCGGTGGCTCACGCCTGTAATCTCAACACTTTGGGAGGCCAAAGCAGATGGATTGCCTGAGCTCAGGAGTTCGAGACCAGCCTGACCAATATGGTAAAACCCCATCTCTACTAAAAATACAAAAAAATTTAGCTGGGCATGATGGTGGGCACCTGTAGTCCCAGCTACTCAGGAAGCTGGGGCAGAAGAATCGCTTGAACCCAGGAGGTGGAGGTTGCAGTGAGCTGAGATCCTGCCATTGCACTGCAGCCTGGGTGACAGAGCAAGACTCTGTCTCGAAAAAAAAAAAAAAACAGGGGCAGAGGACTTAGTCTCAAAGGACAGGTACTGTTTTGAAGATCACGCCAACCACATGAGCCCAAGAATGGAGAAATCCTGAATGTGCTCGAGACAGGAAGCCAAGTGAGGAGTGAGGCTCCCTGATGGAGGAAGGAGATGGAATGCCAGGGGTGCCCTCTCCTGGGGGGAGGCACACAGTGTGGAAGGCAAGCAGTGCCATGCAGCCTTTACCAGCAGCCTAGGAGGCCTGAAGAAGAAGAACTTCCTCCTAGCACTTCAAAAACAGCCCCTCCTTCCTTACCTGCTGAGCTCCTCACTGCCCTGCACCCTCGCCTGCCCAGGGTTCCCCACTCACCTGGACAAAGGTCCAGAAGATGTTCGTTCTCCTCTCTCCAAGGTTCGTTCCCTTGCTCCAGCTGTTCGATGAGTTTTGGTTTGGAAAATGCAATTCCTACTCACAGAAAAAAAAAAAAAACAAAAAACACAAGGTGATCTTGAGTTAGTGGTTTAAGAGGCTATCTCAGAACTCAGAGCCAACCCAGGAATGCAATAAACCCAGAAGGTGATAGGGAGGTGCGGGGGTAGAGTAAACAATGAATGCTGAGACAGGATGAATACAGGGAGGGGATCCTAGACCTAAAAGCAGTATGTTGATTCCACCCTGTGCTTGAGTCAATAAAAATATTCCTCCTTTTGAAGGAAGATAATCTTAGAGGAGGAGCCCAGCCAAGGTGAACAGGCCTGAAATGCAGTGTCAGACACACGCTCACAGCACGCACACACACACACGCACACATAAAACTGCTCTACTAAAGTCAGGCATTCTCTGGGGGAATAGGGGATAAAACGTTTTTCTTTCTGAATCAGAGGCATGGCAGCTGCTACGTAAGAGATTAAAATGCCCACAAGCAGAATCTGAAACCTTAAACAGGCCAGTCTTACCCAGGGAGACCAGATGGCTGTAGTTCTCCAGCATCACCTCCCTATACAGGGTCCTCTGAGCAGAACTCAATAGCTTCCACTCCTTCCGGGTGAAGGCCACAGCCACATCCCGGAAGGCCATCAATGCCTGTAACACAAACACATCCCTGCTCACTCAACAGCCAGCCACGCCCACTAACCAACTTAAGCCACTAACCATAGTCAAGGCAAAAAGAAAGCAGTCCTAGAGCACCCAAGTGAGATTTATAGATCCTGCTTTTAACCTGAAGCCTGGTTCCATATGTTCAAGACTATTAATCCCCTCCACACACTGATGCTGGCTCTCTTTCTGGGCTCTCTGTTGTACTGATCGAACGCACAAGTTTGATTATCGCGGCTACACAGCAGGACTTGAAATCGGGTAAACCAATTCCTCTCACTTTATTCTTCATGTTAGAAGTTGATTTAGCTATTTTAAAACAGCCTGTGCCTGTGCCTTTCTATGCAAATTTTACAATAATCTTGTAAAAGCCCTTGCTGAAATTTTGATAGGATTCCCATTAAACCTGTATATCAATTTGGTGAGAACTTACATCTCTACTATGTTGGATCTTCAAATTCATAAACACAGTATGTCTCTCCATTTGTTTAGACAGTCTATGATTTATTTCATCAACATTTTGTGATTTTCTGCAAACAGACCCTACATGTTTTGTTAGATTTACACCTAAGAATTTCTTCAGCTTTCTTCTTTTTTTAGTAATTTTAATGGTATTGTATTTTAACTTCAGTGACCGTATGTTCATGCTATGACATATGATACAACTGTTTGTCTGTTTTATCTTCTACATGGCAACTGGACTAAACTTACTTAGCTTTAAAAGTTTTTTTTCCCTTCATTCCTTGAGATTTTCTACATAGACAATCATGTCCTCTGCAAATAGGAACAGTTTCATTTCTTTGCTAATGTGGTTAGAACTTCCAGTGCTATGCTGAATGAGAGTGGTAAGAACAGATATAACCTTGGTTTGTTCCCAATTGTGGAAGGAAAGCATTTAATCTTTCACCATTAAGAATACTGTCCTGGCCAGATGCAGTGGCTCACATCTGTAATCCCAGCACTTTGAGAGGCCAAGGCGGGTGGATCACGAGGTCAGGAGTTCAAGACCGGCCTGGCCAAGATGGTGAAACACCATCTCTATTAAAAATACAAAACTTAGCTGGGTGTGGTGGTGCGCTCCTGTAGTCCCAGCTACTTGGGAGGCTGAAGCAGAGAATTGCTTGAACCTGGGAGGCAGAGGTTGCAGTGAGCCGAGATTGCGCCACTACACTGCAGCCTGGGCAACAGAGCAAAACTCCATCTCAAAAAAAAAAAAAAAAGAATACCGTTCCATAGACCAGAATCAAGAGTAGATGTTTAACAAAAGTTTTAATTAAAAATAAATTAAATAAAAAATAAATACTGTTCCACAAACAGGATAACCACTACCAGAAAAAAGAAAAACATATTTTTGTGGGGTGTGGAGAAATTGGAAACTTGCACATTGCCAATGGGAATGTAAAACGATACAGTTTCTATGAAAAACGGTTTGGCAGTTCCTCAAAAAATTAAACATGTAATTACCATCTGATCCAACAATTCCATTCCTAGGAATATACCCCCAAAAACTGAAAGCAGGGACTCAGACAGACACTTGTACACCGATGTTCATAGCAGTACTGTTCACAACAGCTGGAAACAACCTGAATGTTTATCAACTGAATGAATAAAGAAAATATGAATGAATGAAAATGAATGAATAAAGAAAATGTGGTATATACATACAATGGAGCATTTTTCAGCCTTAAAAAGGAGGGACATTCTGATGGATGCTTTTAAGAGATAAGCCTTGAAAATATGCCAAGTGACATAAGCCAGTCACAAAAGGACAAATATTGTATGATTCCACTTATGTGAGGTACCGAAAATAGGCAAATTCATAGACAAAGTAAAACAGAGGTTACCAGGGACTGGGGGGAGTGGGAATGAGGAGTTATTGTTTAATGGATACACAATTTCTATGTGGGATAATGAAAAAATTCTGGAAAGTGGTGATGGTTGCACAACAATGTGAATGTACTTAATGCCACTGAATTGTAAAAGGTTATAAAACAGTCAATTTTGTGTTACGTATTACCAAAATTCTAAAAAGAATGTTAGCTGTAGATTTTTAGAAGATTCTCCTCTGTTCCTATTGTACTGACAGTTTTGTTTACAAATGGTTGTTGAATTCTGCCAAACTCCTATTGCATTAACTGATAAAATAATGAATTTTCTTCTTTAGCCTATTGATATGGCCGACATTACATGATTTAAATTAGAAAAAAATGTTTTAACAAAAGAAATTTTTGCTTTATGTTGGTTTATGGCTCAGGATATGTCTATCTTCGTCTATGTTTCCAAAGGCACATGAAAAGAATATGTATTCTGTTCTTATTGGTTGGAATGTCTGCCATTTAAGTTTTATTTCTGTTTGTTCTCTGGGCTTTTTGCCTCTTTGTTTTCTTTACAACGTTCTCATGGGTTACTCAAACTTTTTTATAGTTCTGTCTTGATTTGCCTACAGTGTTTCTTAGTGTATTTCATTGTATAGCTTTTTGCTTTTTTTTTTTTTTTGGAGACAGTATCATTCTGTTGCTCAGGCTGGAGTGCAATGGCACGATCTCGGCTCACTGCATCCTCCCCCTCCCGAGTTCACGCAATTCTTATGCCTCAGCGTCCTGAGTAGCCGGGATTACAGGCCCCCGCCACCACACCCGGCTAATTTTTGTATTTTTAGTAGAGATGGGGTTTCGTCATGTTGGCCAGGCTGGTCTTGAACTCCTGACCTCAGGTGATCCCCCTGCCTTGGCCTCCCAAAGTGCTGGGATTACAGGTGTGAGCCACCATGCCCAGCCATTGTATAGCTTTTTAAGTGGTTGCTCTAGGTGCTACATTACATACATATAGCTTATCATAATTTACTAGTGTCATCATTTTACCAGTTTGCTATTTTGTTGTTTTTTTGAGGCAGGGTCTCTCTCTGACACCTAGGCTGGAGAGCAGCAGCATGATCATGGCTCACTATAGCCTCAATCTCTCAGTCTACAGCAATCCTCCCACCTCAGCCTCCCAAGTTGCTGGGACCAGGTGTACATCACCACACCTGGCTAATTTTTTTTTTTTTTTTTTTTTAGAGACGGGGTGTTACTATGCTGCCCAGGCTGGTTTCAAACTCCTGAGCTTGAGCAATCCTCCTGCCTCAGCCTCACAAAGTGCTGGCATTAGAGGATAAGCCACCACACCTGGCCCATGTTACCAGTTTGAATCATTGTACAGAACTTACCTCCCATTACATCCCCTTACTCTTTCTGTTTCAAAACATAATTTTCCTAAGTATTTCCTCTATATACATTCAAATCCACATCAGATCATACGATAATCTTTGCTTCCGCCATCAACAAGTTTAGAAAATTCATGCAGAATAGCGATGCCTACTACATTTACCCTATACGTCTTCCTTACCATGTTCTTTTCTTTCTGATTGTTTCAGGGGACCCTGCTGTAAAGAACTACCTGATACTGGGTAATTCATTAAAAAAAGAGGTTTAATTGACTCACAGTTCCACAGGCTGTACACGAAGCATGGAAGGGAGGCCTCAGGAAACTTACAATCATGGTGGAAGGATGAAGGAGAAGCAAGTAAATCTTCACATTGTGGCAGGAGAAAGAGCAAGCAAGAGAGGGAAGTGCTACACACTTTTAAACTATCAGATCTCGTGAGAACTCATGATCACAAAAAGAGCATGAGGAAAATCTGCCTCCGCACCACAGCCCCTGCCATAGCTGCCTCTGAGCCTGCTGCCGCCACCTCTGAAAAGATGGCTGGGCCACCCATGTATGAGATCTTGGAAAATCTGCCAGGGATGTCTTCACCAAGGGCTATGGATTTGGCTTAACAGAACTTGATTTGAAAACAAAAGAGAAGAATGGATTGGAATTTACAAGCTCAGGCTCAGCCAACAGTGAGACCACCAAAGTGACAGGCCGTCTGGAAACCAAGTACAGATGGACTGAATATGGCCTGACATTTACAGAGAAATAGAACACTGACAACATACCAGGCACTGAGGTTACTGTGGAAGATCAGCTTTCACATGAACTGAAGGTGACTTTCAATTCATCCTTCTCACCTAACACTGGGGAAAAAAATGCTAAAATCAAGACAGGGTACAAGCAGGAGCACATTAACCTGGGCTGAGACATGGATTTTGACATTGCTGGGCCCTCAATCCAGGGTGCTCTGGTGCTGGGTTACGAGGGCTGGCTGGCCAGCTACCAGATGAATTTTGAGAATGCAAAGTCCCGAGTGACCCAGAGCAACAGTGCAGTTGGCTACAAGACTGATGAATTCCAGCTTCACACTAAAGTGAATGATAGGACAGTTTGGCAGCTCCATTTACCAGAAGGTGAACAAGTTGGAGACTACTGTCAATCTCACCTGGACAGCAGGAAACAGTAACACTAGCTTCGGAATAGCAGCCAAGTATCAGATCGACCCCGATGCCTGCTTCTCAGCTAAAGTGAACAACTCCAGCCTGAGAGGTTTAGGATACACTCAGACCCTAAAGCCAGGTATCAAACTGACACTGTCAGCTCTCCTGGATGGCAAAAATGTCAATGCTGGTGGTCACAAGCTTGGTTGAGGACTGGAATTTCAAGCATAAATGAACACTGTATTGTTTAATTTTAAACTATTTTTGGCCGGGCACGGTGGCTCATGCGTGTAATCCCAGCACTTTGGGAGGCCGAGGCGGGCGGATCATGAGGTCAGGAAATCAAGACCATCCTGGCTAACACGGTGAAACCCTGTCTCTACTAAAAATACAAAAAATTAGCCGGGTGTGGTGGCACGTGCCTGTAGTCCCAGCTACTCGGGAGGCTGAGGCAGGAGAATTGCTTGAACCCAGGAGGCGGAGGTTGCAGTGAACGGAGATCGCGCCACTGCACTCCAGTCTGGATGACAGAGCGAGACTCCGTTTCTAAACAAACAAACAAACAAACAAACAATTCTGCAGTATAGCAACCTTCAGAATTTAGTGTATCTTTTAATGTTGTATGTCTAGGAT